ATGTTTGGTAATCCATTTGTGAATATTTTGGAGCAACCGAAGGTTTAACGGTTGATTGTAAGGTTACTTGTGCTAGCGAAGTGTTTGTATTTCTTGGTGTTGTTAAATTTGGACGTATTGGTGAAATACTTTGTTGTGTAGTTGTTGTGTGTACGATTTCTTCATTTATGAAGTGTGATGGTGTCTGGATATCTTGTTGAGTGAGATTCCTAGTTCCATTGAGGTTTTCATTGTGTATGACTGTGGAGTTTAAACTATTATTTTGCATATCAGGTAAAAATGTATTATAGTTTAATGGTGTTGCATCAATGGTTAATGGTATTACTCTTACATAATCTCTTACATAAGATATTGTACTTATTGCTTGACTTGCAATTGATTGTGGGATATTTATAAATGCATAATGAGACCATTCGGGGTCCCAAACGTAGTCTGACTGTTCTGTGATGGCGGTATCATCGTTTGAATTTTGAGGTCTAAAATTTTTTCGTGCTTGTGAAATTAAATCAATATTATGTGTGAAATAATCTATTATAAACCATGCCAAAATTTTTTGTAAGTCATGTTTTGTATGTTGTGAAACTTCATCTTTAGTGAAATTTTCTTTAATTATATTTAGAAAACTAGAGAGTAGTGTGATTTCATGTCGTACCCTTATATGTTTAGATGTTTCTGTCGGTGAGACATTTGGGATTGGGATTTCGTTTTCTAATATCGAAATATAACTATATATTATTGCAAAAACTTCATTGGTGAATATGGAGTTTGCTCTTTGTGAGTTATGATATTGTATGCTTTTTATATATTCTGAGAATACTTTTGAAAATTCTAAATCAAGATCGTCTGTTTGAATTACATATTTGCGGTGATTCGGGTTTGGTGAGGTTAATTCTATGGTGTAGATTCCGTAGTGTTGTGTCAAATTACATATATCTTTCAGATAGTGATCAATAATTTGTCTTTTGATTTTTACATCTGGGAACTCTGTTTTACATGGGCTGATTCTGGGTTCAAACAAATTTAGTAGTAAATTCTTGCAAAGTATATGCTGTCCTCTATCATTGGTTGCATCTACAATGAAGGGGAAGATATCATCATCATCTGGACTTTCTTCACCTGGGGTGTGCGTTGAGCTCATTTTTTCGTTTGATGACTGTTAATATGTAATTATCGATGTGTCTAATTGGTTGATTCCAATTGTATAAGTGTACTGGTTTGTGTTTATATTGCTTTTTTATTCTTCTTTTTCCTCTTTTTGATGAATTTGAAGTTGTTTCTGAGTCGGAAAAATATAATTGATCGTGAATTGGGCAATTTTTGTCTATTGATTCTTTTAATTTATAAAGTTCGTCTAAACTGCTGGTTTCTGATTCTGAAAATGCGTTTCGGTTTTTGGAAAATCTTTTTCGTGTTATTTGTCTTTGTTTGGTTATTATTTTTCTTTTTAGTGTTTGTCGTTTTGTTCTAATATATCCAACTGTTTGTGTATGAGGTGTGATTACAAGGTCGTATTTTTTGTTATCTATTTCACAATTGTGTAAAACGATTGTTTGTTTATTTCCTAGGTTTTTAAATGACATAAGGTTTAGGATGACGGATGCAAAAGGTTGTTAAATGATTTCTATTTTCTTAGACTGTTAGTCCTTACGGTTTTTTGGTTAGCTTAACCTGGGTCTATTTGTTCAGGGTTGGAGAGAAAAGTATATCGATTCCGAAGAATGATTTTTTACTTTCTCGTGGCTAGTATAAGCTAAGGTGTTAACTTACTTAATCTTACTTAAGGGTAGTGATTGTGTTCAAGGGTTGGAGAATAGTAAATCGATCCACAAGGTTCAGGTATAATTAGAACGCGAGTAGTTCGTTAGATACTATTTTAAACTTACTAAGTCTAAGATTTATCCTGGGTCTGATAAGAGGAGGGTTCAAGTGAAGGATGAATAACCGAAGTTCTTCACTGTTTATCCTAATTTGAATGGTTAGTTTTGTTGAAAAATTTCTATTAGTCCTGGGTTTTTAGAAAGGGTTGGATAGTGAATCGACGTTTGAGGTCGTTAGACACTAGCTAATGGGTGGGGGAGAACAAAATTGTTCTTTTTGATCCAAGGATAGGCCTTGATGATCAAGTTTTAAATTTAATTAAATAGAAAATGATTTAAGATCCAAGGATAAGCCTTGATGATCTGGTTTTAAAATTAAGTGAATTTAAGTTTAAAATGATTTAAATTTGTGTAAAGAAAAGATTTAGTGTTTTTATGATATTAGTGAGCTTATGAATGCTGTTATGTTTAGGTGATGAAGCTGGAACAACAGGATGATTTATGATTACTAACCGTTTATTGTCATGCTACTAATTTTTATTTTGATTTTTCAATAAATATTTTCCAAACATGTTTTATATAATACTGCAGAATTTTAGAAAAACGATCTGAGATCTTTTTATCAATCGTTATTGTATATTAATATTTTGTTTAGCGCCTGAAATGATCATGAAGATTGACTTCAAGATTTAAGTTTGCAAATGAAAATCTAAATTCATTGCTAATAAGATTCTAAATATAAAAGTTTGTGTTGGCTTTTGCCGTACTATCATATAACTATTTGGTAAGTTTCTACTTTGTCGTATGTCGTCTCTGGTTCGAGGTCTTCTTCCAATTCCGGGTAGTTCTCTTATCGTTCGGAATATTGGCTTTGATCTATTGAGTCGTAGAGACATTTCGATTAAATTATCTTCGTGTAAAATTTTGTAAATGTTTTGTCTAATTTCTAATCTATTATTGGTTAATTCTAAGCTACTAAGGTCTTGTTCGAGACTTATGGTCGCACCAGATGAGTTATAATCGATGTGGTTAACTCATAGAGTAATTTCGGATAGGGTACACCGTCTGCTCGTCACGCTATCTTATTTTCGGCCGGATAGATTCGTGCAACTTCTTAGTCTAATACCGATCCAATCTTACTCTTATACTTATCTAGTCTCAGGTTGTTTAACTAGTCTCTTCTAGGCTCAATAGATCTAGGGTATACTGGTTTATTGCGGCTGCTGAAGTCTTCTTGGAGAGTCAACTAATTTCTAAGTTAAATTCAAATCTCTCTGGTGCTGAAATTACAAGTAATTTCAGCACTTACAAATAAGTGGATTGTTAGTCAGATGGATCATGATTGGTTAATATTAAATACTTTACATTGGTAAAATATCTAATTTATCCAATCATAAAATATAGTTTAGATCAGGTTCCACCCTTTATTCTTAAAACAAAACAATTTATTTTATAAGGCGACCAAATTTATTTATTTCAAATCATATCATCAAACAGTGGCTTGCATTGTTGAAACTCAACTGCATATCGCATCAGGGTCGTGGACTCCGAATTCTTATCTTACTAATTTTCAAATCCATCCATAATACTAAAGCTACAATTATTTTGAGTTTTTCAGGAGATTAAATAACTGCTTATCCTATCAATCAACCAAAGACTATAACAACTGCAACTTTTTTGATTTCATTATCCTTTTGAGTCATAATCCTCTATTGTTGTACCATAGAAAGAAGTACTATTACAAAACAGCCCAAACTGCACAATAACTCATTTCTTTAGCTTTAGTCATCTGATATCACCAGTAAAAAAAACAACAAAAAATTTGTGACATCGCATTTTGTCACCGTCTCCGCCTCGCAATCGAAAGGTTATTGGTTCGAGGCCCATCATAGTCAGTGCACGTTTTTGAGGGCGTGGCAACCTTACCCGGCCCTGAAATATAAACTTAAAAATGTATGTAGTTCGTAATATAAAGGACAACAGCTACTAAATTTTTTCAATACCAAAGTACAATTAGAACCAGGAGGTTAACATCAAACTTCGAATGCCTTGTGGTCGTTTCTTCTTTAAGGAATTTGTTTCAAATAAAATTGTTTCGTTTGTTGTAACTGTTTTTTACCGTCTTTCGTACAAACTTGTTTTCTTTATTTATTAAGATTGTTTTGTAACGTTATTTTGTTTAATGCTCAATATAAAACTCTTACCAAAAAGTAGAAGTGATTTGAGTTTTTAAATGAACGCAAAACATCAGCGAGAAGCCACATTTTGAATAATTTATTAAAGTACAAAAATTACCAATTCAACTGGTATCTTGGTTAGACTATTTGTTTCGTATTTACGTACAGAATTATTCATACGATTTACTTTCGAAGATAGGAGAGCATCTAAACACTGAATCCTCGATGATTACTTTCAAGTTTTGTTTTGGATCACGGCAAAGAAATATTCGAAAACTTACTGGGTACGTATTTTTTTTTACTATACCTTATAGAAAAAGGTAATGACAAACTTGGCAGTTTGCAGTTTACAGTACTTCCTTCACGTTTTTGGACAGTTTGTATTAATAAATATTTTTAGCGCCAAGTGAATTTTCAACATCTCGTTTTTGGACAGTTTGTATTAAAGAATATTTTAGCACCAAAAAAACTTGGCCGGCATGGGGTCGAATCCCTGAGGGGAAGGGAGCGTCCACCCCCCTTTAATTCGCCCCTGGCTCCGAGTGAAGTTTTAGAGGATATATGCGATATGCGGTAAGACTTTAAGGACTTACATAACAATCTCCTTAAAGTCTCCCTATAACAACAAAATACAGTAAATTAGCTCTAGAGCTTTCTATTGAGAATTATAATTTGGCTGCACTCTGGATGAACCAAAATTCGACAATTTTATTCTACTTAGGAAGGGTAGGGGGGGGGGGGGGGAGATCTGACTTTAAGCATGTTGCGTTAAGCAAGTACGCATTCGCATTCTGAGACATTGTGCGCATACTGAAAGGGTCTTTATTCGGAAAAAAATCGAGATTGATTTCAAAAAATAGACAAGCCAAGAACCTTTGGGGTCTATTGAGATTGTTTTGAGTTATATTTGAGATACATTGTACATTGAGAAATAACTTTGAGTCTAATTTGGAAAAGAGTTTCTGATTAATTTCAAAATAACAGAAGTGAATTATTTTTGTTTCAGCATTTCGCTCCTGACATGTCTTCTTGTGATACTCTATTACAATAATCGTATAGATCACTTCATATCTGGTAGCAGGAACCGTGTAACGAATGAAGATAAGCTAAAATCAACGGAACTTATTTTCAAGGTAAGGCTAGAATGTGTGTGGCCATGTGAAGTTGTTTCCCAAAGGTGGTGGAGCACAATGCAAAAGTAGCTCACCCGTTAAACCATTAAAGATATCCATCTTGTTTTTTTCCGGGTCTGTTTGCTGTGTAAAAACTTTGCCAATTTTGGGTTACCCGCGGGTTTTTGATGAGATTTTAATAATCATCAAAATCCCTCCGTGAGTTACATCCGGGAGGTGTTTCAGAAGGTGCTAATAGCTGTTCCGAGTGTGCTCTCACGAGTAGAAGAGAGACGAGCCGTTCGTGAGTCGTGGGGAGATTTCTCTTCATGGCCTAACTGTGAAGTGAACCTCAAACTGGTGTTCTACGTCGGAAACCCGAAGGATGAGGGGGAGAGAAATATTCTAAGTTAGTTGATTTCTTTTTTCAAAATTTTTTCACAATTGGTAGGGAAGAAATTTTAAAAAAATAAACAAATGTTTTGTAAGTAGCTCAAAAAATTTCAACCACAATTTTCAAAAAACGAAGCAAAAATTTTTCCCCCTATTTGTGTTATTTGTTGTCTTGAAAAGATCTGACCAAAAGCTGAGAACTTTGAAAATTTCAACAGTAATAGTAAACAAGACTGCTCGTATCAGGGCGAAGCCCTGAATGTTTCGACTGCCTTTTAAGGTTTACGGAGCAGCAGTAATAACATAAAAAAATTAAATGAAATAAAATAAAATGAAAATTTTTTATGAAAATCATCCCCCCACACGCCATATAAAGTACAAAAGATAGATTTCATTCCTTGTAGCAAATCAATAATGGCAAATAAGCTTCGTTCGACCAATTTGGAACGATTTATAGGACGGATTAAATCTCCGCTTACGCGTTACTAGCGTGAATTATATCGCGGGTTAATTGTCCCAAATTGGTCAAAATGACAATCTTTAAACCCTCATAACTTTACGAAAAATGATCACAGGTGAAATATCTTTTCAAATTTAAGCTCAGGACAACAATACTTTTTGAATGATATAAAAAAGTTCCGTCGAAAGTGGCTAGTTAAAAAGTCGAAATTTGTCTGAAGAAACACAAACCCACCCCGAGCACAAATATTCCGTTTCTTTCGTATCGAAAGTCGGAACAATGAGGCTTATTCGATCACAGTTTTCATCAAAAATGAACAAGAAAAAACATTTTAAAAACTTCTATAAATTTAATTGAAAAGTTTGCAGTTTTTTAAGATTTTTTTTTAAGAATGACAAAATATTAAAATATTTTCAAAAATACAAAAATTATTTTCTGGAGTAACGCGCAGACCTCGTCATTGAAAAAAAATGTTTGGAATTTCGTCAATATTCGAATCACTACTGCGAAGTCTTTCAAATGACGTATCTCTCAATCTATTCCGATGATGATTTGGTGCCTGATTAGGAAAGAACACGCCTTGCAGTTTTTAATTAAGCCCTTAAATTTAGTTTTACTCCAATAAAATTAGATTTTGAAGCGTTTAGTGCCATTTTTGGTATAAAAAATTCAATCAATCAAGAGAAGAGTTGCAAAAAATTGATGAAATGGTCAAATTTTTTGAAGAAAACTGCTGTCCATTATGCTCCTTTCGCTATGACTTTTATTATGACAAAATCTCAGCTTACACTTGATTTTTCTTGCGCACAAAAAATGACACTCAAATTTTTTCAAAAACAAACATTGTACGTAGTTCTTGCAAGAGATCTAACTTGATAAATGAACGAACTGAAAAACCAAAAAACTAACGTGATGAAACTTAGCAAATTGAAAGAACTGTTGTATTTTGAAATAGAAAAAGAACAGATGCTGTTCTAAGACACACAAAAATTCTATATATCGGTACTCACTGTCAACTTTTTTCTTTATCTAAATTTTCAGTTGAAAATACAAAAAAAGTATACCACATGAAGTTTGGCTTAAAAAAACTACCATAATATAGAATGCATTTTCGCAAAAAAAAAAACGAAACAAACCTGCTCTCTACCATCTCTGTCTCACCCACTCACATTGGCTATAAAATATTCCAAAAAATATTAAAAAACTGGAACTTTTTTGAAAAAATTTCGACAGCTTTTTTGAAAACATTTTTTTTTAAATTTGATTCGTGTTTGAAGGCATCTTTGTCTATGTAACTGCATTTTGAGCTGAGGTATTTTGAATCGAGTGTTAAAAATGCACTCCAGGCCATAGTTTGATCCCACTTTTTCAGAGAGTTTGAAGCAAAAAAAATGATGTTTTTTCAAAAAAAAAAATAGTTTAAAAAATGCAAATTAACGAATATAAGAAAAATGTAGCCTTTTTTTCATAATCTTACAATTACGCGGATTGTTGTCTTTGACTATCAGTCTTTTTTTCTCATGCCTAGGTTAAATTTTTCAGCTGTTCTCTTTTGTTTCATAACACATAACATGCATATGAACTTTCTATCGCATAATGGTTCTCAGTCTGTTTTTCTTAACCGTATTCAACGAAAGTTTTTGATGCCACTTTTAAAAATAACCCGGGTTGAAGCCTCAGAGAAAATCATTATTTTTTCAAAAACGTATTAGTAAAAAATCAGTTCTGCATCAGATTCTGGCAGCTGGCAATTTATCGCTGATCAGAGATAAAAAGAGAAAAACCGCATTACTGTAACAGTACTGAATCAGTACTGTTACAGTAGTGTTTTTATTCTGCTATTTTTTTGATCAGAATAAGTTCACATGTTTTTTTCTGAAAATTCTGTGCTCGGAACAAAATCAGAGATTTTGTTCTGTTAATTTTATGATCAGAATTGGAATCAGAAAAAAATCACAGCAGCACTTTTTTGTATAAAAACTCAAAAAAATCTCAAAAAATACCAAGTTTCACGCTTAGGCACAAACGTGACCTAAATGAAAATGTTTCATTGGGCTGATTTCAAAATTTTTTTTGGCCTTCTTATTGAAGATTAATCCAAGATTTACAAAAAAAGTAGAAAAACTCTCTTTTTCCAAACTCAATTGTAAAACAATTTGAATTTAGGCCAATTATGATTCTGAAAAAGTCGAACGAAACTAAAAAATGAAAGTGCACAAATAAATTAGAAGCAACCAATGAAATTGCGCGTAACTATGTATCATCAGAATAAAAATCAGAGAGAAAATTTTTCTAAAATTTCCTGATAATTATCATTCTTAACGCAATTTTATGCTAACAGATTTAATAATTTAACTCACCAAATTAAACTCCTATGAATCAGAAAAGTTTAACTAGCAATCATAAATTTTTGGTCTAAGAATAGATCACAATTTTCAAATTTTCACGATTAAAGACTTCAAAAATAAAATTTTCTCTAGTGAATAAACTTTAAAAAATTCAACGATTGCCATTTCCATGGACATTTGTAATAGTCAAACAAAACATTATAGGAATCATATAAACAGTTGAGCTGGAAAAAAAATGTCGAACAGCCTCAGATTGAATTTTTTGGGCCAAGAGTTTCTTTTTTCTGATATCAGTTTCAAAGCAATTTCAGCAATCAAATGTAACATATTGTGAATAGATTTGTTAGTTATCTAAATTAGACGAACGAAATATCATAAGCTCAATTAGACGAATTGACACATGTTTTCCAGCCAAAAACATGTCGACAACCTGCAACCAGGATACCAATCATAGATCAAAACAAAGAACAAGATAACGTTTTTTTTCTGCGTATTGTTACCAAAAATTGCCGTGTTTCCAGGCATTTTAGGTGCTCAAGCCTTTCAAATGCCAACGCAACCACAATTCGATTTTTTCTCAAACAAGAGCTGCGTTTTTAGGTTTTTTTTGGCTGATTGTTAGCTGTGGCGGGATGCACCAATTAAAAAAAGATCATATTTTTACCAAAAATTCCTGTGTTCCCAGGCAAATTCATCTGTTCAAGCTTTTTAACTTCTAAAGCTAACCACTTTCTATTTTTTGCAGAAAAAAACTGCGTTTAGGCCGTTTCTAGCACAATCGTTATAAATCAGGGTATTTTAATGAATTTTTCCTTTTTGTAACGACACGTAACATACATTTGAAATTGAATCGAAACTTCGTAAAAAGTTTCCATTTGTTTAAAAAAAAAAACAGAATAAAACTGTAATCTAACAATAATGTTACAGTTCTTGAACAGTACTGGCCATTTTTTTTCCTGTTCAATCTCTTGGTCAGGTGAAAAACAGAGTAAAGTTCCGATTTTACACAGGACTAAATTTTGTTTAAAAAATGTTGTTTTACTTGAACAGTACTAATAACCTCTGCGACTTCAACCCGGAAAAGCTTAAAACTACCCGAAGGCTTTGCCAGCGACAATTTTTTGTTAAAATACATGTGTTCGAAAGAAGTTCAGAAAAATTTCGTAGAAAAAAAAGATTGAGCTATAAAACGGGAATTGTCTGAAGAATAAAAACGGAATTTATCTGAAGAAAAAAAAGAACAGTTAAGTTTGGAAGCAAGAAGGGCATTTTTTGTTGAATAATAAGTTAGGGCTGGTTAATGGGTTAACCCATTCATCAAAATTAACTTCGCTCCTTGTTTTAATAACTTTTTTAACATTTCCAAGTGACTGCTTTTTAATCTGCATCACAATTTACCAACTTTCAGGGAACGAGCTGAGAGAATTCGGAGACCTGGAACTGCTCAATTTCACTGAAGGGTATTACGGCCTAACCGAGAAAACAAAGCTGATCATACAATCAGTAGCACACAAAGCTCAATTAGACGAAATATCATTCGACTACTTAATCAAAACAGACGACGATACCTTTGTTAATATTCCACTTATTTGTGCTAACTTCGCTAATTTCGGCCAAGCTAATGTTTACGGCGGAAATTGCCATATGAACAGTGTGCCTTACAGAAAAACGTCGAAAACTTACAATCCGAAATTTATTGTTACTTCTGAAGAATATTCTAGAAACTCTTACCCGCCGCATTGCGAGGGCGCTTTTTATTACATGTCGAAAGATTTGGTATCCAAGTTAAGCTCAGTAGGGTTCAAAAATGGGCAGTATTTGAAATTTGAAGATGTTTATGTGGGATTGGCTTTCGAAGCTGCGGGAGTTACTTTTCGTGAACTTGAAAAACGCAACTACAATTATTATTTTCTCTTTTCATTTCAAGTAAGTACATTAAGTTCTTCAATGAATCACTTCTGCTAAATTGTGATTTTTTTTCGTTCATGTAATAAACTGAAATTAAAAGCCCTTTAGTGAATTTTTTTCCAATTGTCATTATTAGCGTATAAAAGAAAGAATTAACAAACTTGCATGTTTTTGGGTCTCTAAAAGCCTAGAAACGATTCCAAATATAACAAGACTGCTCGTATCAGGGCGAAGCCCTGAATGTTCCGACTGCCTTTTAAGGTTTATGGAGCAGCAGTAATAACATAAAAAATTTAAACCTTTTTAATGAAAATCATCCGCCCACACGCCATATAAAGTACAAAAAGATAGATTTTGTCCCTTGTAATAAATCAATCATGGCAAATAAGCTTCGTTCAACCAATTTGGAACGATTTATAAGACGGATTAAATCTCCGCTTACGCGTTAATAGCACGAATTATATCGCGCGTTAATTGTCCCAAATTGGTCAAAATGACCAAAATGGCAATCTTTAAACCCTCATAACTTTACGAAAAATGATCACAGGTGAAATATCTTTTCAAATTTAAGCTCAGGACAACAATGGCTTTCGAATGATATAAAAAATTCTGTCATAAATGGCTCGTTAAAAAGTCAAAATTTGTCTGAAGAAAAAAAAACCCACCCCGAGCACAAATATTTTTTTTCAATTGAAAAGTCTTTTTCATCTTCGTTGTTTCCAAAACGTTGAAAATTGAAAACAAAATCAAAACTTGGCAAATTTTTATTTCTTGCACATTTAAAAACAAATATCTTTTTATTTCAGAAAACGTCTGGATTTGAAATTGGGTATTCGACTTCATTTCTCAAGTTCATTTGGGCTTTTCATCCAGTTATCACGTTGAACAGACTGAAAGAAATGCACCAAACGACCATTTCAGTTCACACAAGACTTCGAAAAGAAGGCGTGAACATTTTGAGTGAAGATGAAGATTTCAGCTCGAAAGTTCAACGGTGGTTGTTACGTAAACCAGAACCGATTAGATATCAACCGAAATAGCTCAGCAACATACAATCTAGCTTACTGCTTCAAATATGTGTCGAATTCTTTATTGTTTAATTTCATAATAATCACTGCTTTCCATTTACTTAAATGAATTTCTATTTCTGCAAAGCTATCAAAAACCTGCATTTAAACTGGCTGTCTGCTTTTTCGTCTTGAAATCCATATCATTGCTGCAAATATCTATCCAAGTTATTAACTTGTTTGTGCTTTAAAAAATTGTTTGATCTATAAATTTTATACTTCGCCAACTGTAAACCTCCAATTATTGCCAAATATTGCCGGTTTTGGTGAATTACCAATAACAATTTAGTTTCAATTAAAAGTAATATAATTTTGATTTTTTCATAGTCCTTTATCTAAAAATGAGAAGAAATGTCAATTTCTGTATATTCACATCTCTTACTCTCAATTTTGCAACAGGGGTTTAACTTAAAAATTTTGAATCAATCAAGCAAACCCCCGGCCAATCCATTCTCCTCTTTCCAGGGAAAGATAGCTCAAAACAGAAACGTGAGGCATGTTTATAACCACGTAAAATTAGCTTCTTTTTTCTGACGCCATTCGTCAGAGTCTCTAACGCTTGAATCACGAAATCAAACTCAAAAATTGGTTTCAGAGTGAACAAAACGACCAAAGTATTTGCATGTTAGGGCGATTTCAATTGAAAAAACTCAATTGAAAAAATTCAATTCAAATTAAACAAAAACCATTCAACTACATTTTTAAGTTGGTGGAATTTAATCACAAAATTTCCTGCTGCCATTTGCTAACAGCTTTTTCCGGACCAAATTCAGCTTTCGAGAGATGGAACGTATCACCAACAAACAATAAATAATAATGATAAATTAATTTCCTAGTATATGCAAACAAATACAGTTGCGAGAACGTCAATAGCGTTTAGGCTGTCAGGTGACCCCTCAAGAGGAAAGATATTAATGCTAATCAAAATATCATGAATTTTATGATTATTTAATCACCCAGAAATGTCTTTCTAAATCCAGAAAAAGCAGTCAAAACATTTTGTTTGATTACCGAGTTGATTGGAGAAAGCAAAAAAAAAGAAAAGAAAAGAAACAACACTTCCCAGAATAATTCTAAAAAGACATTTTCTATGATTTGAGGTTCTCGAAACTGATGAAACAGTTTTTTTCTTGAGTCCTTTCTTCCTATTAGTCCCTAAAAAGCAGGGTTCAACCATATCCACGTGTACCAAATTGTTAGTACAGTCAATTGTGTGTTCTTCTACCAAAACATTTGCCAATGTTATTATTAGTTCATATATGTCAAGTTCTCTACGAGTAAATATTTTGTAAATCTTCACTATTCGTAGAGTTTCCGTTTTTTTTGCGCTATGTCAACATTTTTTAATTCAGTTAATTTGCCAGACTAAATAACAGCATTCTATATTGTAACGCTGGTTGGATGTAGAGTGCTGTTAATTGAATGATGAACGGTGTCAATTGCAGTGGACAAATCCTTGAAGATACAAGCCACACCATATTTTGCTGATAAACTTTTCGATATTGTCTCAATAACGTTCAAGAGTGCATCCATTGTTGATTTTTCATCAATATCATTAAAATGGTTTGGCGTCAAAACTTTTTGCTTTTATACTAATTTTGTCATTCTCTCGCATATTGATTTTTCAGGCACTTCACTGATTACCGGAAGAAGAGAGTCTGGTCTGTAGTTTTCACATTTTTCTTTATCATTTCCTAAAAACCGGTACTACTCGGGCAACTTTCAAAGCTCAAGGAAATTACTGCTGCTCAAAGCAATGATTGAACAGCCTGGTAAAATAACTAGATAATACAGGTTTTTTTGTTTTCACTAGACCATTTTTTAGATTTCACAGTCCGCTTGTTTTTTTTGTTTTTCAAATTTTTTCAAACACAAAAAAAAAACAATTTGATCACTTTTTTTCTGAAAGACCATTGACTTAGTCATTTTCTGTAGATTTCTAAAATCATTGGTAAAACTTTTACAAGCTATTTTTTGAATTTACAAAGTGTTTTTTCGATTTGTCAGGAACGAACTCTGCTCTCTGCTTAGTGTCAACAACTTCAAAAGTTTTATGGCTAAATGGAACAAACAATTTTAACTGTCATTTGATTGTTCTGTTTTGTTTTCGTTGTAAGTGATTTCAATTATCTCGATTAAAAATTTTGCGTTTTCTCTAAAGTTTTTAGAAAAAAGCCCAAGCTCCTTGAGTTTTTTCACTCAAGAGTTCATTCTGAAAATACTTTTTTTCTTGCTGAATTATTTTTTTTACCAGGTTGTTCACCCTATTTTTGTGATTAGGGCGGAAAATGCTTTGTTTTTCTGGTAAAATTTCATTCAATGCTGATAGTAGATTTTTATAAGTTTAGAAGTTAGGTCATAAATGAAGTTTGAGAAAAGTTATTTTTCAGTTATTTGTAAGTCTTTGTAAATCAAAAAGTAAAAGTCCAGTTGTTTTTTTTTCGATTGAAGTGAGTTTGTTCTGTTTCTTTAAGCCTCATCAATTTCAATTAAACACTATGATGATCTGATTTTGCAGTAACTATTGTTTTAGCTGAGCTAGAAGTATTAGGAAAAAAATATCGATCATCATGTGATTTCGCTGTTTTATTAGGATGTTTGTTTCTTATTTTGGTTGAAAGGCTTGAGTTAATAGTTTGCTTAGAAGCTTTTTTGTACTTTTGTTTTCTTCAATCATAGTTATCCTTATATCTCCACGAGTTATTTGTTGGTGTTTAGTGTGGTTTTTTCACTCTTTTTGCATGTGTTCTTCTAGAACGTCTAACGTTTCATCTATTCCAAATCTTGGCGATTTGTATAACACCAAAAAAAATCATTTTTTCTCCCTCGCTTAACAATTTGACCAAAAAATTGTCAGTGATATTTGTCGTCCACTTCATGATTTGATATTCGTGTTGTTTTTTGATAAGTTTTCTTTCGCCCCACCGTTTTTGCTCTTTTGTATGCAAATTTTTTTTGACATACATTAAAAACCAGGCTTTTTCATTTGTATTTTTTTTGCACCATGTCTCTGTTAATGCTATTGCTGTTGGTTTGCTTCTCAATGCTGAATGAAAAATTTTTATGTGAGTAACGTTTTTATTTAGTTATCTAATATGTTGTAGAAACACGAGGCGCGACATGCTCTTTTTTGTTTTTTAAAATATTCAACTCATTTTGTTTCCACTGCAATTTCTGTTTTTTTTTTATTTGAAATGAGTAAAAAAAACCATGTGTTCGATTTAGTACCCTTCGATCCCAGTTTTCATTACAATTTTTTTGTTCGTGTGTGTTTAGTATAAAATTTGAGCCGAACTTGTAATTGAACTGCAGAAGTCGGAGTAGAACTTATTTAGGTTCTGAGCAAACCATGAGTTTATACGCACACAATTTTACAATACTTATATACTGATGTAGCACCAAAGCTGAAGTCACAGTTATAGCTTCAATTTCATTCTCGTTTGCAGGATAGTAATAGCCGAGGTCGCAGTGTTCCATCACAAAAAAAATTCACGTTATGACATGCAGTTCCTCAGAAGTCGCAGCAGTCAAATTTCGAGATCAAAAAAAGAGAAAAAACTCACAATAAAAAAAAACGTTATCGCTTTCATTCTTGAGTTTTGAGTTTTTTTTTCTGTTTTTAATGAAGTTTTATTGAGAAAACAAACATCCTATGAGACACAAAATTATGATTTCTGTATCAATTGCTGGGAAAGAGCTATAAAAACAACCAGGTTTCATCTTTGCTCTGAAAATTCAAAGTCTAAATCAGTACTCAAGCAGGTTAACAAACAGAATCTCTGCTAAACTCAACCTTACTGATTGAAATATAATTTCAGTTTATCTCCTTAGAAGAAGAAACTGATAGCCAACGAAAAAAAAAGATTTCGAGTTCATTTTAAGAACTATTTTACTTTAATTATTTCTTTTTTTTGTTATCCTCCGCTTTCTCCACAAAAGGCTTTTCTGCTCTGAAGTTAGAAACGCATACAAACTCACTGTTCGCTCCTCATTATCTAAAACTCGTCTTGTGTTTCCTTTAAAATTTGGTTTTAACAGCGGCCCCTATTTTTCAACTCGTTGTTGTTGCTCTCGAATGATCGGTTTTTTGAGAATTTCTAAGTCCTATTCAGTTTAAATCTTTGTATGATATTACGTGCCCGAGCTCGATTGATGTAAAAGAGACTTAAGCAAATTTTACTTTCTGTCAGCTGTTTGACATAAACATCGAACGGATCTTTTACCCAAATTGTTTTTTTGGTTGATCAGATTTTTTTAATTATCTTGGTTCAGTTTTTCCTTTTTTTATGCCTCGTGCTCAATGTTGAAATGAACAATTTTTCTAATGCTGGAATGGTGTTCTTATAATTTCTAAGCCTCCACTAGACAAAATATCATAAGCTTTCAACCTATATTTCACTGACTCGCTTTTTGAAAAATTCATCCAAAAACCAGAGTGTACTGTTGAGCAAATTTATCTTATCGTGGGCATCAAAAAGAGGGTTATAACCTAATCAGGAGTATTGTTTTTGTTTTCTTGGTGCGATGTTTATCTCATCGCAAAATTTTTTTTTTTCAGTTTTCTTTTTTTTTTTCGTAAGTTTCCTTTTTGTTTCATTTATCAAGGTAATCACTACCAGTCAGTTGCCTCATCTCAGATACTGTCCACCATTCGACGTAGCTTTGCAAGGTTGTCGTCCATCGTAAGAGTTTGAAACCAGTCACGTCTTTCCCAAAAAAACAGTTTTTCCTATTTTGAAAAAATAAGGGTTGATTTTTTTAATATTTGTTATTTTGTTTGATCGCAGTTGAGACAACACAAGTTGAACCTGATTTCGTTTAACTTTGCATTTTTATTTTCGAATAATCAGAGTTTCCCAGATATAAATTTCAGTAATTTGAGCAAATTTGTTTCAAGGTTTGGACATAAAAGCTCCAAAATACAATTAATGTGTTCACATACATATGTAGTATCACTTTTTAGAAGGTCGTTGTTGTTCATTTTGTGCCTGAATTAGAGTTGTTTCGCTTTTTACCGGACAATTAGGGTTACTTTCGATAGTTTTTTCCAATAGCTGGGTGGGTGATTGAAAATATGGGCTTCAAAATACAATTCGAACTCACCAAAAACCATACTGTAATTGTTAGAAGGTTTCTGGTGTCCATTTTGTGCCTAATTTTGAGTTATTTTGCTTTTTCCCCTTGTTATTTTTTTCGATAAGGTTGCCAATTTTTCGAACAAAACTGGGTCACTAAGTGGATACACGGGCTCCC